CAGTTCCTTCGCTGGTTACGCAGCGATAGGCTTTCTCCTGATAAGCATTCAATCAGGATTACCCAAAGTCTCAACTCACATCCCCCGCCATCCCACCGGAGTAATTTCCCTGAGGCGTGCATGACCCCTCAAACTCTTACCGCGTTGGTAGACGTGGGCCCGCAGCCAGGTTGTGCTGGCTTGCAGTCATCCAATAGGGGTTGCGCCCTAGAGGTGCTAACCTTTACCGTTTAGCTTGGTATTCCCCAATATGCCTTGGGATTAGCACAAGTGTCTAGACGGTGCGTCGCAAAACAGACCACAGGCCCGCTGCGGGACTACGCAGGGGTCTGTCTCACTTTAAAGGCGTTTACCAACTTCCCATGGGACAACACAGGACGCATGGCCCCTTTTCACAATCACAAACAAGTTCACCGCGAGGCTCATACACAAGGTCGTGGCCCGCTGTCTTGATCAGAGACAGCAGACCACACATCCCACGGCTATGCACTAACTTGTGACCTTCTTAGTTCCACCAACGATCCAGTCTGTAATTCTGGTTCCTCTCGTCAGGCTTTGTCAACTCAAACCCTGCTTACCATGCCCTTAGACCTGTTAATCACCTTTCGCACGAAGGAGGTCTCTCTCATTAGGTCTCCCAACGTCCTTCCTATTTTTTGTCACTTGCTAAAACCAGGGCGGATACCCTTGTAAGGGTATTCGCCCCGACACCGGTACTCCGCCCTGCTGACACCACGCCGTCCCCTGGTCCCTTGTGGTCCCCGACACTTTGTCTTGCTGGTACTGCCCCGTCCTTCAATCCCGTGTGGTCCCCGACACTCCTGCCCCACCTGTACCACGTCTCCTCTTGGTACTCCCGACGTCCTTCCGCCTTACAGCAATCTCTGCTCCCTGCTCCTATTGCGTCCCGCATGCTATTCCGTTTCCGGGCGCCGGCTCCCACCTACCCCGTGGTCCCCTTGGCCCTCTTGCCGCCGCGTCGCGTCAGCGCCTTGCGCCCTGTCCCTTCCTACTCTCCTTCCTTCCCTTGCTGCACACCTCCTATGTTGCTGCCAACTTCCCAGCGGCCCTCCTTCGTTCTTGGGGAAAGAGCTGCCCTTGCTACCCTCTCACAGTCCTTCGCCGCTTCTTGTTTAGACAGTTCCTTTCTATTTTGGCGGTCCTGACGACTTCTAGGCAGCCTCTAGCTTCCTACTGCCTGTGCCCACGTTTCCGCTCTTTCCGGCATTCCTGCCTCCGATTTTCTCTGTCGTGCACAAATTGGTCATATACAGTCTCTTGAGTGACGGGAAACCATTCGGGACTCACCAGTCCCGACAACGTGACTAAGTTCGAAGCTTGAACATTCGCTCTGCACGTGCACCGCCGCCGGGGTCCGGTGTCAATACTAAGTTCGAAGTCGTTTGAACACTCGCACCACGCGAACTTCTGTATTTAAACCAAGTTGGAAGTCCTTCTTTCTCGAGTTCTGGGTCTACGCTTGGCATGCAGCTAAGTTCGAAACCTCAATGCCCGCGCAGCACGTGCCCTGCCATAGGAGTCCTAGATCTGCACCGGGTGCGTACCCAACTTAAAGGTTCTTTGCGCGCTCCGAGCGTAAGCGCTGCATGTGTAGTTACATTGGCGCTCTGTGCTCGGTGCGTTGTTGCCAACCTCCTCGGTGAGAATTTTTTTACTGGTCATAAATACTTTATGGGCAAAACTCGCAGTAGGTATGAGTGAGTGACAATGGAGCTTGGAGCTGGAAACAGACGGGAGAGGTGCAACAGGGAAAAAGGTGGGGCGCAGGATACCGTTGGTGTTAGGGGTTGATCGGTGCTGAGAACGTGACCGACTGGCCAGGGTGCATGCCGAGGGTGTGGTGGAGCGGTCTAGACTGCAGCCAAAGAGGAGTGGCCACACTAAGCCATGGTAGATACCTCCCCGCCCGACACCAGTCCCTTTGAGGTGAAGGGAAGCGATTGCCATGGACATTACCGGCCCATTCCCCAAGCACAAGACCGGCGTGGATGGGATTCTCACGGTGGTCGACCGACTCACCAAGTTCGCCATGTTTTTGCCTTGCCGCTATCATGCCAAGGCACCGGAGTTGGCCGAGGTTCTCTACGCCGGTTGGATTCGAACCAAGGGTTACCCCAAGGAAATCGTCTGCGCCCGTGACACTTTGTTCATGTCCGATTTTTGGTTGGCAATCATCAAGCGATGGGGCTCATCTCTCAAGCGCAGTTCAGCTCACCACCCCCAGACCGATGGCCAAACGGAGAGGGCGCACCAGACCGCACAGGTTCTCCTTCGCACTCTCATCCGTCCTGACCAGACGGATTGGGTTGAGCGGTTGCCGGACGTCGAGTTGGCCTACAACTCCTCCATCCACCCGGCTATCGGGATCTTGCCCTTCGAGTCCGAGCACGGCTCGTCAATCACTTCTCCGTTGGACACAATCATTCCACGAACGGTCGAGAGTGACAACCATCTTCTTTTCTTGCGTCGGATGCAAGAGCTACTTGTCAAGGCACGCGACCAGATGGCCAAGACGCAGCAACGCATGAGCCAACAGGCCAATCGCCAGCGGCTTCGTTGCCCATTCCGCGCCGGGCGATCTCGTTTGGGTCTCCGACACGGAATTCAGCCTTGAACAAGATATCTCTCGCAAGCTCCTCCTGAAATGGACGGGGCCTTGGCCGATCGTGGCACCCGCTGGGGATGCACCCGAGGGACCTTCCTTCACTATTCAGGTGCCCGCCCACTTGCCCGTCTACCCAGTCTTTCATTGCTCCAAGTTGGCTCTTTACACGCTAGCGGAACATGCCGATTTTCCCGGGCGACGTTCGCACGACCCACCCTCTATGGACGGTTTTCAGGAGGTCGGCGACATCATCTCCCAGCAACGCTACGGCAACAGGCCAACCGAGTACTTGGTACATTTTGCATACTGCACACACCGAGCTGCCGTTGGTTGACCCGTGCGGAACTTCAAGCAACAGCTCCAGACGTTCTCGCACGCTACGAACGCAAGATGCAAGGCAAGTCGGTCTCTTAGGCTCCATGCTGCACATGTGTCCAGGTTCCACCTTCAGATCGTCAGCGTCGCCCTCGCCCCGGCTTGACTTCATAAGGAGGGGGGGGTGTTACATGCTGCGCCTGCACACGAGGGCCATTTTCCAGGCCCTGCATCCCTCAAGCTGACAGCCTGAAACTCAGGCTGAAAACCTGAAAACCAGGGCCTACAGGCCCCGTGTCTGTTCAGCTCGAAAGCCTGAAAAACAGGGGCCTACAGACCCTGTGTTGTTTCAGACTAAAAATGGCAGTAGCCTTTTTAGCCTGAAAGGAAGGGCCATTTTCGGTCTGTCATCAGACCGACCTGCCCTGAAACTCAGGCACCAAACCAGGGTTTTAGGAACAGGCTATTTCTGGCCTGTTTCCACCACAGCTGCAGCGCCAGCCCCTGGCTCAGTTCGGCATTGGCACGAGCAGCCTCCTAGACTGCCCGCCCTGCAACTACAGGCAGTCGGAGGCAGTCAGGAGGCAGGCCGAGGTAGTACATAGGAACTTCCCATGCACTTCACGGGTAGGCAGGAGGCAGTCAGTAGTCTTCAGCATTCGGCAGCAGCACTCTGGAGGAGCGCTGCAGTAGTTGTAGCGTTAGCAGTAGCCTTCAGCGCTGGGCGCTAGTAGCTGTAGTTGTAGTCTTCAGCGCTGGGCGCCATAGCTAGAGTAGTACTAGAGAGAGAGAGATTGGGCGGAGGCCAGGGATACTTACCTGCAGCGCCATTGCTCCAGCTTCGTCTTCCAGGTACCTGCAGCACAGCGCCATCTTCACAGGTTAGTACCTGGCATACAAGAGAGAGAGAGAGAGAGAGAGAGAGAGAGAGA